GGTGCGGGCGGCCAGGGGCCAGCGGCAGACGCTGGAGGGCAACTTGACGCTCTGCGTCTCGTGCACCACGTAGAGCTTCACGCCCGGCGTCCCCTGCACGTGGAAGGCGACGGCGTCTTTGGGTGCGGATCTGGAGCGGGGAGAGGGGGGAAAACCCGGTGAGAGCCTCGGGGGGGGGCAGCGTGCGGCCATCCGTGCGGGACGCAAACCCTGCCGCCTGCGAGCTTGCGCCGTGCAATGAATCCTTGCAGCAAGTCGGGCAAACCCGCAATGATCCCTGCAAAACGCAGCTGCGACAAACCCCGCGCTGCGGCGTTACAATCAGTCCCGCAACGGGCAGCGAGCCCTGCGATGCGCAACCGCAACCAGTCCTGCAAAATGCAACGCGTCCCGCAAACGCGACGGCGAGGAGCCCTTCAGCGCACAGCAAATCCTGCAGAACTCGATTACAGCAGATCCCGCCAAAGGCGATTGCAGCAAATCCCGCGAAAGGCGATGACAGCAAATCCTGCCGGAGGCAAGAGGTCCCGCAAAAGGCAACGGCGACAAATCCCGCAGCGTGAATTGCAACAAACCCTGCAAGATGCACAAAATCTTGCGATATTCAACTGCATCAAACGATGCAAAGCGCAACAAGCCCTGCAATATGAAATAGTAACAAGTCCCGCAGCATTAATGGCAATAAACCCCGCAAGATGCACAAAATCTTGCGATACTCAAGTGCCTGAAAGGATGCAAAGTGCAACAAGTCCCGCTATAAAAAGTGGCAAGAAATCCCGCAGCGTGAATTGCAACAAACCCTGCAAGATGCGCAAAATCTTGCGATATTCAACTGCATCAAACGATGCAAAGCGCAACAAGCCCTGAAATACAAAATGGCAATAAGTCCCGCAGAATTAATTGCAACAAGCCCTGCAAGATGCACAAAATCTTGCGATATTCAACTGCATCAAACGATGCAAAGCACAACAAGCCCTGCAATACAAAATGGCAAGAAATCCTGCAGCATTAACTGCAACAAGCCCTACAAGATGCACCAAATGCTGCAATATTCAACCGCAACAAGTCCTGTAAAATGCAATTGCAACAAAACCCTGCAAGATTCCGTCGCGGCAAACCCCCGGAGCTCTCTGGGGTGGTTTTTTGGGACAGGACAAGCCCTGACCGGTCGCATCCCCTTCGGAGAAAAGCAAAGCTGCAGCGGTCGGGCAGGCTGCAGCTCGCAACGCTCCGCCCCGGCGCAACACGCTGTAGGCGATGGGCCAAGGAGCACAAATCCTGACCTGCCAGGAGGGAAGCACGGATCTGTCCCCAGGGTGGAGGGGAAAATCCCACCCCAGGGCCAGCGAGAGAGGTGAGGATGCTGTCAGCGTTGATGGGATCATATGTGGCTTTGGATGCATTAAATAAAATTAAAAAAAACGACGAAGCTGTTGCTTGGGCTGGGCTTTAAGGAAGCAAAAAGCAAAACCTGCTGCTGAAAAGCACTTCAGCTGGGGCTGGGGCCAAGGAGGCAGCTAAAGCACCGGGTGACGGGAGGTGACGCCCCGGCCAGCAGCACCGCGGTGGTTTCTCTCCCCGCATTCCCCCAGAAAGGGGAAATCTTTCCGTTCTGGAGGAGGACGTAGCAGCCCCCCAGCCGGGATGTGAAACTCAGCCCAAGGCATCGCTTAAAGATCCCAGGGGGGGCTTTTTGCACCCAAACTGCAGCAAAACGTCCCTTCGAGGGGTCACCGCTCCACCAATTCGGAGGAGCCCCTTCCTCCTGGGGCCCGACATCTCCTGGGAAAACCAACCCGAGCAGCAGCATCCCCCCCGCCCCACCCCGAGCTATTTTTATCAGCTTGATTAGTGAGATAAAAGCAAAAAAAGGGGGATTTTAATTTTTCCCCCCCACCTCGCGGCCGCTTACCCACAGACATCGAGGGAGAGCTCGGTGCCCAGCACGCAGACGGTGCTGGTGGGACGCTGGGTGGACAGCTGGACGCGGCGCTGCTGGGCCATGCCGGCGGGCCCCTGGGGCACCCTTGGGTGCTGCGACGGGTGGCACGAGGGGGTTTATAAAGCCGGGCTGCTGGGAGGGGATTAACCAAAGCCCGGCTTAATCCCACCTCCGAGCTCTCAGCCTCCGGGCTGGGTGCGCACGGTGCCCAGCCGCGCTTCCCCGTGATGGAGCATGAATCAGAGCGCGGGGAAAAGCACCCCAAGACACCCACCAGGTTTTGTTTTGTTTTTTCCTTGATAAGAAGCTCGGGGGTGGGTTTTTTTCTTAGCACAAAGAGATGCTGGTGTGACTGGCCACCCTTAAACCCACGCTGTAAAATATTCATTGTGACACCAGAGCCGAGCTGGGGACGTGCCAGCACCGGGCTCAGAGGGGTTTTATTTCTCCTCCCATTGGTTTTATTTGCTCAGCTGGAAAAATTGGCTTTAGGTCTTATTTTAGGGGGGGTTGAAGGTGCAAGCTGGGTGCTTGCCCTGACCCCCTGGGTGCTGCATGGGGCAGGGGGTCGGTACATCACCTGCGGTGGGGACAGCAGACCCTGCCGCAGCTTTTATGGTCTTTGTTTTAATTAAATCCTCATCTCGGCGTGGGAGAGGCCTTTGCCGATGCAGCTGTCCCCCCACCAACTCCCTACGAGATCATGCGCCGCTGGAATTTAATATTCCTCCTTGGGGCTGGGGAAACTCAGCAGAGCCATAACCGCAGGGACAAGGGGGGGCTTGAGGTTAGAAATCACCTTTTTGGTAAAAAGGACGGGTGCCAAGATGGACGCGTGTTCCTTCTGGGGAGCATCCCCCTTGATTCTCCAGCACCACTTGCAAACACGGCCTCAGAGCAGTCTCCTGGAGGCTTAGCTATGCTTTTACACCTCAAAAAGTATTGCTAGAAAAGGAAATTGCCCCAAAATAGTGGATTTAGCCCCATAATAGCTCCTGGGGTTGCACAGGGCCAAGCGATGCCCAGGGCAGGGGACTTGTTTCAGTTCCTGGTGCCGGTTCCAACTGGGTGAGGGTGGTATGGGCAGGACAGAGGGGCAGGAGTGCCAGCTCGGCACGGGGAAACACCGCGCTGTGCTTGCGATGAAAAGAGGGACAGAAACAGTAGCTGGGGCAGCTGCGAGGGGAAAAGGAAATTTTCTCCTCAGAGAGGGTGTAAAGTGCTTTGCGTGAGGACAGGGCTCTGCCTCCACCCGGCCTCCTCCGTGGGAGGTGTTTCTTTGGCTGATACAGGGAATCTGGGGAGAGGGGGGATTATTAGCTACAAACCTGGGACAAGGGACTTACAGACCCTTTAGGAGTGGGATGGGGTCTCAAACCCCCAAAGCAGCCTCCTCGCCAGCTGACTTGCATGCACCATGCTCTCAAAGACGCCCCATCTTGTCCCCATCGCATAAAACCATCATTCCCACAACAAACCATGTGCTCAAAAAAGATTTCAAATGATATTTTCAACCCAAAAGCAGAGGAAGAAAGGATGGGAGACGGGGAAGAGCTGCACCCTCAGTGTTAATGCAGCTTTATTGGTGAGACCCTTTATTCCGATGCATCTTCTGATGCACCAAATGCACCTTCATCACCCGGTTGCAGGACCTGAGCCCATCCCCAGGTGCTTCAGGGCACCATGTGCCACCATTTGAAGGTGAAGGGCTTACGGCGGACGTTGGTGCCGCAGTGGACATCGCCAGAGAGGACGTGGTAGGAGAAGTAGTCGTCGATGAAGGTGCAGGTGAGGCCCAGGGGCTCCAGCAGCGCCCGCACCCGCTCCTCCAGGCAGCACTGCCCACCCACCCGTGGTCCGAAGGGCTTGGGGATGCCCAGGTGCCTGCCCAGCACCAGCATGTTCACCTGCACCCGGATGAAAAAAATCAGTGTTTTCCACCCAAAAGATGTGTTTGCATCAGGTGCTGATGGAAAAAGAGGGGTGGGAGGGGAGGAGGTGCCGGAGGTCTCACCATGTCCGGGAAGAAGGCATCTGCACGGGATCCCTTCAGGATGAAGAGCTGGGGGATGTCGATGATGTCCTGCTCGTTCAGGCCCAGCTCCTGCTTCAGGAGGTCACGGTTCCAGTCGATGCAGCGCTGCAGAGAAGCGGGGACCTGGAATTTCCACCCTCAGCCACCCCAGCCCCCCCAAATCCCATGCACGGACCCCTGTGTGCCCCACTGCAGTCTGTCTGGATCCTCACCTGCTCCATTGCATCCTGCCCAGATCCTCGTCCACTCCGCTGCACCTCATTCCACCCCACCCCTCTGAGCAACCTCATGAACCCATTCCGAACCCGAGCAACCTCTTTCCTTCAGTTTTGACACCTCTACAGTCACTCGGGGCATCTCCCACCGGGATGATGGCCTGGGGTGACACAGCACCCAAGGGTGCCTGGTTCCTTCATGGCTGCTCTTCTTGCCCGCCTGCTTTCACGCTGCATGGTGCAACTTCTGCCACGGTTTCTTGCTCTTCCCCAGGATCTCTAAAAAAGCTCCCTATACCCAGAAATCACCCAGCAGCGATGCGCAAGCAAGCCAAGCGAATCCACCCAAACCCATGGGTGCAAAGACCCACCTGGACATGCCTGTTGTCACTCTTCAATGACTCATCTGCCAGGATGTCGTCAATGCTTCTCCTCTCAGTGCCCTGCAGCCCTGTGTAGGGACAGGAGCAGAGAGGTGAGGGACACCGGTAAGAGATGCTGGTGGTCCCCACCATGCTGCAGGGATGCCCTCGCCCACTCTTTTACCGACGAACTGCGTGGCTTCGCCATGGCCCTGCTTCTGTTTCTCCTTGAAGAGCTTGTAGCAGGCGTTGGGGCTGGCCAAGAGGAGCCGGAAACCCTGCGGGAGAGAGCCTGGGGGTCACGCTTTGCTGCCAATGTGATATTTTACCCCACCGTCCTGCTGAGAGACACCACGTCAATGCCAAAGCCAGCCCCAGGTGTTGCAGGGAGCATGGGATGTCACCCAGGGACTCGCTGTTTTCCAGGAAGCCACCCCAAAAGAAAGCGCATCACCCAGCCTTCGCGGGGAGGACGAGCAATTGCAAAAAGGGCGCTTTTT